ATGTTTTCTCTCTAGCGAAATCTAATTAAGTTCATTGAGTTTACTTTTAACTTCTTAGAAATCTTTCAATATTTTAAAATGCAACTCGCAAAACTACTTGCTGAGGTTCTGCACTCTGTGTAGTTTGAAGGTGTCTCAGTATTCTGCGTTTCAGTGCATGGAAAGAAGAGCCTTGAATTATGTTTTTAAAGGTGAAAAAGAGTTTTTTGTTTTTCTCCCTGTTCTGATCATTCAGCTTTACCTGAAGGATATTTCATCAAACTTTCCAAAAAACAAAACAAATCTCTTTATGACGACACAGTCTATGGAAAGTCTCAGCTGATGGGGAGTCATTTCCCCTCCCCAAATGTTACTGACCCAATTTCAGTATTGTGAATCACAAGTGTTGAAAAATCATTAGTTTCAGGCTCCCCAAAAAATGGAGGAATGTTTTAAAATGTGGGGCTTTTTTATTTGCTTTTTGGTGTTTGACCATTTAGAAGTCACATTTTCAAGTTATCTTCTGTTTTTCAACTATCCAGGGCTAGAACCTTGAAAGTTAAGATTCTTGGGTAATAAAATAACTAGTAGCCAGGATTGTGCAAAAAACCAAAGCAAACCCCCCAAATACAGCATAACTCATGATAACGTTACAAGAATTGGCAACACACCAACTTTAGGATTATAAACAGAAGCTGTAACACATTAACTGTGTCCTTAACTTACAAATTAATAATTCCTTCTCATTAAAAATCTTGGCATCTGGCTGGAATATTTTTAGAACATTATTATTGAAGAGTCTTGATAACCTATAGGTATAATACTCTCTGGTGTTTACTCTCCATGGATGTCATGTTTTCATTAAGCTTCAGAATCTGCCATCCTTACATTGAGATGGGCCTTTGTGACCCATTGTAATCAATTAGACCAGCATTTCTCAACCTTTTTGATACTAGGGACCAGATTGCTGCCTTCCTAAACTGTGTTGGTGAGCTCTCCCGGGACTGGTAATTGAGACACTAAATTAGACCACTCAGAGCAAGGTACTAAATATGACTGAGGGTTGCAGAATCAGTCAAACATTCTGTTTCACATATCCAAAAATAGTAATGGCAGAGCTGAGTGTGGTGACTTGAGAGGGGAAAAAAAGTCCTTGACCAAAGGGTGAGAGTTAGATCTACAAGTATGAGTGAGGTCAAATGCCCCCATAAAAGAGCTAGATTTAGGGTTTGTTTTAGGCAGGTACCTGGGATGTAATGAGATGAGAAACTATGCACAGGAGACGCTACGGCTGAACACAAGGATGGGGAAGGGGTACTAGCTATTCAAGTGTAAAATAGCACCAAAAATGGACAGGAGAGAAGCAGAGAATTTACAGTGCACAGAAGAAGCCTTCAATGGCAGGGGAAATAAAGAAAATAGCCTGATGCTGTAGATGATCTCCATCTTAAATTCCAGTGATTCTGTGTGATACTTTTTCTCTGTGAAAAGTGTCATGCCGCTGTTCTGTAATTAAAATGTGCTTTTCAGTACTTTCTGACTTATGATCCTTCTGATCCTTGGTGCAATGACCAGCTGGCCTTTTCTGCCCTGGAATTCTGACAGCGTCAGAAGTTGAAAAAGTGATTTACATTAAGGCCGAGCAAAAGGGTGGCTGACTTTGACATGGGGAAGGGGCAGTTCATTCTGGTAGGCTGGGTTTCCGAACAGGTCAAAGCAAAGGTTAGTTGGACCCAACTCTGAGGCTCATTGAAACAATTAGACTCTATTGGCCAACTGGGGGGATTCCATACTGGAGATGGAGGAAATTGCTGTCATGTACTGTGTGGATCTACATCTGGATAAATAGTTGCTCTTTCTCCCCCCAAGACTGAGGCTACATCTGCACAACAGCCGAAAGTCGACTTAAGTTGCACAACTGCAATTACATAAATAACATAGCAGGAGTCAACGTACCTTAAGGTGAGTTACCATGGGAGTTAGCGGGAGAAACTCTCTCGTGGCCTTCCTTTACTCTTCTTGTCCAGATAGAGAAACAGGGTCAATGAGAGAGCAATCTGTGGTGGATTTGGCAGGTCTTCCCTAGACCCATTAAACTCACCACCGGTGAATCAATTTCAGGCCTTGTCTCCAATTACCAGACAATCAATGCTCTGGTAATCGATCTTCCAAGGTTTGATTTAGCGGGTCTAGTAAAGACCCACTAAATCAAATGCTGAGGGTACCCCTGACAACTGTGGTACTCCTTGCTGTCACAAGCAGTAAGGGAAGTCGATGCCCTCCCGTCAACCTCCCACTGTGGGGCCACCCTCAGAAAATCGGTGCAAAGTATGTCGACTCCAGCTATGCAATTCATATAGCTGGAGCTGCATATCTTGCATTGATTTTCTTCACCATTGTAGACCTACCCTCAGAGCCTTGACCTGGGCTGTGGTGTAGATGTAGCCATTGATATCAATTTGTGCTCCCATTGAGTTACTCCACATGGTAGGTATCTGTTATGCACACAGATGGACAATCCGCTGCAAAAATATTCCATAAATATTGCTATAATTATTTTAATGAACTCCCCCTTTCATGGATGCATGACACTTGCTGTTTTCCATAGTTGTTCATGGATCTGACTTTTTGTTAGCATCTGCACTAATAATACTGAATTTTAAGTGTACAAACTCATGGGGAAATAACTTAAACTTGCTTTCCCTGTGCCTTTGGAGCACAGATTCCATCATGCATCTTAGACTCATCTAGTCTGGGAACAGGATCAATAGCCAGTCTCCACTCCACAGCACAGCTAGAAGAGCAAGCCACAGAGCAAACCAAATTAATTACAAAGTAGAGCTCAGTACATTTAAGGAAACCGCGTGTTCTTGGACTCTTCCATGAACGTATGGTGAAATTGACTACATTGTTACAAAGCAACTTATTTGGATCTAGTGGGAACAGAGGGGGAGCTACATAGCTGATGGAACTGGGTGTCTAGCTTATGTGTGTGTTACCTTCTTTTGTTTGCCTTTTAGTTTAGTGAATTTCTCTTTTGATCCTCTTGTGTTGCTTGGTTAGCTGAGAGGAGATTATTCTAACCTGGAATAATGGTCAGTGCTTGTGTCCTAGTAACTACCAACTGCCTTAGTGCTTTCTAAAATACTGCATCTGGTTTTGATGCTCTGAAAGTTACAATATTCAGAAATATCTCCCAAGTGAGCAACCTTTGAGTGTTTTCTCTCTGGTGGTGATGGGAGGGGGGGAGGAAGGGGTTAACCTATTTTTCTTTGCTTCTTTTCAAAGGAAGCATGAAACCTTCTGGGAATGTACCTTAGTTTGTTCCGCGTGAGATGAAAGTAGTCCTTTCAGAATATCCAATATTATGACTGGGTTTTTTGTTGTTTTTATTTACAGCTGAGCTTTCAAGGTATTTTGTGCTCTGGTTTGTGAAGAGTAAAAATTCTCTCATTTTATTCAACTAAAGCATTTTTTGTGAGTGATGTACTCTGGCTGGCTTCTCTGAGTAGCTCTGTACGTGGAAGTTCAGATATGTATGACAGAGCCTCCCTGACTCGCATTAGTAACCGGAAGATCCATTGTGAATGAGCAACCATCAACGAAACATGATTTTAAAAGAAAATCATAAAACCTGCTTTAACACTCCTTCCGTTTCAACACAGAATCTGCTTGGCCATGTACGTGGCAAGGGCTGTGCTGACGTGATCCATCCTTAGCAATGTGAGACCTTGGCATAGTGTGGAGGAGGGAGGGGACAGTGTGGAAAGCTTGCTGGGTCTGCCGTGAGAGCCACGCTGTGCGTCAGCATGGAGTTTGTGCGGTTCTAATGGCTCGGGGAAGGCAGAGAAGAAAGACTCTACATCCCCATTTAGTCACTCCGAGTTCACACCCCCACTACAGAGTATCGGCCACATCCTGGGCTTGATTTCAAATGCTAAAAGTTCTAAGTTCAAGTCCTGCCAGGCTAATAAAAATGTACCCTGTGCTCAGATCGTAGAAAAGGGAGCACAGGGCAAGAACCTGAACCGAATCAGAAATAGGGGCAGTGACTGGGGAGAGAGCATGTTAGACTGGATCATGCATTTTGCGTTTCACATTCATAACAAGATAAGTTCTCAATGAAAACACTTACTGTGCCTCCTTAGTGTGGGGGGCACTTTATTCTCCATTGCAAGGAAAAGATTCATTTTCTTGACTTCACACGCACCGCACCACACACACACACACACACACACACACACACGTCTTCACAAAAAATATAGAAACTACTGTACATAGTATTTAAGGCTGAGAACCTGTGGAGCGATGGATGTATACGATCTGCTGGAGGTAGACAAATGCAGGAGAGCAAGAAGAATGCAGGGTACTGACATGCCTGAGAGTGCAGAAGTGAGGTGAGTCACGGAGCTGATGAAGGGAAATTTGTGAATCGTATATTCTATGTCAGCATTTTTGACAGTTGGCCGGGGTTTTGTTATCCGTAAATCCATGGGGCTGAGATTCTGTAAAATCTCCAACTCTCAGGAGCGGCTAACAGGGTCTGAAAACCCTACGAAGAGGAGAGAAGCCACTTTGTCTTGGAAGTTGACATCCCCAATCTGACGCTGCCTGCCTGTGACAAAGGACCCCTCAAATATTTCTACTTCTGACCTTTTAGCTCAGTCTCTGGAGACACCTGCACTCCCAAAACAGAGAGTGCAGGTAAGTCCCTGGTAGTCCACTCTAGCTCATACTTTTGGTAGAACTCTAGGTAGATGGTTACCTACTGATGTCGAACAGCCACTTTCAATACACTAGTATGAGTCCCTGAACTAGATGCCTTTTAGTAACCTGGTCTTCAACTCAACCTCTTACTGCGCCAGGTCAGTTTGGTTTTAAGCACCTGTCTCTAGACTCCTTGATCCAAGCCTGGATTTCTTGGCCCTGAGACTTACGTCCAGGCAAGTACTGTTGTGGTGAGAAACCCAAAGCCTGATGGTTTCTGTACTTCGTGTCCGGTGCCTTCTTCATAGGGTGGTGGGTTTCTGTACTTCGTGTCCGGTGCCTTCTTCATAGGCCCATCTCTAAAGACCACAGCTCTGGGTCAGGGTTAGAAATGCTCAGACCCTGAGTCTAGAATTCCTTTCTTCAGTGCTTAGGCTTTCTGGAAAAATCAGTACTCCTCCCTTTTCTGTCCAGCATCAGAACTGTGGTCTCTCGAGACCCCGGCGCTCTGCTTTGGCTTACCAAACCATTTCCCCAGGACACCGGTCTCTGGGCTGTCCCTGAGACACAAGAGGTTCCTCAGCCCGAGGGGTAATAAGGTACATCGCTGTGGTAGTTATAGTCGGGACATACCTTCTGCACTAGCCTGTAGTCTATGCTGTAGAAGGTGATGTAGATGCAAATGACTTTGAAGGGCTTGGAGCAGACCCACAGGACCTGGCTGTGGGTGTGCTCATAGGAGCAAGGTTTGGAGGGGTCGTAGGTACAGAGTGTGGTTTTCTTGGCGTGATCCACTTTCTCGTGGTCCACGCGGCAGTTGAAGATCTTGGATTCTTTGGCCTCAATGAAGATCTGCTGCTCCAGGTCAAACTCCACAGTCTTGGTGGGAGGGACGAGACTCACCGAGATGGCGCCCTGCCCGGTGGAGTTGTGCCGGAAGAAGACACTGACCGTGCCGTTCCCATGATCCACCACCTTGCCGGTGACCAGGAGGTTCAGCGACACTGTCTTGATGTTGGAATAAAAGTCCCCCCAGCCAAAAATTTTCTTGAGCTTGCCAGTGCTGGCCCCAGGCTCCCTGCGTCCCCGAGGGCGCGGGGCCTGGCCCAGCTGCTGCAGGCTGCCCAGGGCTTCCCAGAGCTCTTGTGAACCAGAGGCCAGGTCCTGGCGAGTCACATTCTGCAGCAGGGACGGCGGGGAGAGGGGCTCCCTGTTCTGCGGGAGCGGGGAGCTGGCTCGACCCTCCCCCGCATCCTCCCCTTGCTCTTGGCCGCAGATCACCTGAAGCGAAAAGCAGAGAAAATCAGAGACGCGTCTTCTCGCTGCTCGTGCGCCGAGCCCATCCCCTCTCCTCTGGGCTTCCCCGCCCCCAGTCCTGGGCCGAGCCCATCCCCTCTCCTCTGGGCTTCCCCGCCCCCAGTCCTGGGCCGAGCCCATCCCCTCTC